CCAGCGGCCCCACGCAGCACCAGCGGCCTCCTGTCATCCCAGCACAGATCCGGGAGCCAGCACCCCCAGGAGGGCTGCGGGGCTGTGCTGGACTCCTCCCGGGGGTGCAGCCCCAAGATCTGCGCCAGATGACAGGAGGCTGCCACTGCCTCCATGGAGCTCAGCCTGGAGGTGGGAGGTAGAGTGCAGCACTGGCTCTTGCCACCGGGCTGCGTTCCAATTGGCTCCACCAGCCCGACGGAGCACAGCCCAGCAACAGGAGGCAGACAGAGCCGGCACTGTGCTCCATCTCCCGCCACTGGGCTGAGCTCCTTGGGGCTGGTGGATCCAATTGGAGCGCAGCCTGGTGGCAGGAGGCAGGCAGAGCTGGTGCTGCCCTCCTATCGGCTCTGCCAGCCCATGGTGTGCAGCCCGGCAGCAGGAGGCGGGGAGAGCCAGGGCTGCATTCCCTGCTGGGCTGAGCTACACAGGGCTGCGAAGCCACTTAGAGCACAGCCCTGGCTCTCCCCTGCCTCCCACCACCAGGCTGCTTCAAAACTCAAAACATTTTGAAACTTTCAAAATGTTTTGAGTGCCCTCATTTCATTTCAAAGTTGTTTCAATGCTTTTTGTTTCATTTCGATTTCACTGTTTTGAGCTCAAAATGCATCAAAACAGCTTTGAAACAAAACCCTTGGTGAAATTTTGCACAGCCCTACTATCCTGCAGTGGAGTTCTTTACTGCACAGCAACGCATGTGTAGACACTGACAGGGCTGGCTGGGGCACGAGGGTGCCTGCCAACTAGCCCTGCAGTGGGGCACCCTCTTGCCCCAGCCAGCCCCTCCACAGGACATTGAGCCAGGTCAGAACAGCCCTGGACTGGCAGGCTGACCCCCCAGGTCCCTTTCTAGCTGGGGCTGTTCTGACCTGGCTCAACGTGCTGCAGTCCCAATTGCACATGAAGATACAGCACTCGGAAGCAATAAACTTTGGTATGGTATGTGCCAAAGTTTATTCATGTGCATTAATTTCATATGTCAACACATCCATACAGCTGTAATATGTCTCACTGTTAGCATAGCAATAACTATTTTGAATATGTGTACATGTAGGAAAGGGAATTAAACAGATAAAACATAGTGTATAAGCTTCTCTCCAAAAGTTTGTTTATATTTAAACTCATGCAAAAGCTAAAGGATTAATTGGAACAATTCTCCATCTGCATAAATAAGTTCTGAAGTGCTGCAGAATTCAGCATTTTTGTTCTCAGAAGTTAATGTGTAATTTTATTTGGTAGATTTGGTTCAACTTGGTTTCATGTAGCCTGAGCTTTGTCTGTGATTTGATGTCCTCCATTACAAGGAAAACTGAAATAAAAGGGCAAAGTTTTGCATGGTTTCCACTAAAATCTCAGCTCTGGCTCTGGGTAAGGCTCAGGTTCTTCAAGAAATCTTCCATTCCACTTGGTCCAGCTTTCTGGTTTGTTGAGAACAACTGTAAAATTTCACACAGCTTCAGTAAATTCTCTGCCACCGAAATACTAAGGCATACAAACACTGCTGCTTTTTATCCTCCACAGCAAGGTTGCATTCAGTTCTGGTGTGACTCCATGAACTTCATTGGTTTCAAACCAGGAAGGAACCTAATTCAATGGAGTGTTTAAAACTGTAGCTTAAAAAAAAATGAAGTCCTTTTCTATGTTTATACATGGAGCTATCAATGGCTAATAAATATGATTACAATAATTCAAAGAACAGTTTTGTTTGTCAAAGCTTTAAGGGTTAAAATATCAAGTACTGTTCCCTATGTCAGTGCAAATTGAAGAGGGGAACTCTAAAGTAATAATTTTTGTTCCCACTGTATCCAATAGTAACAGTGAGAAGCTTTTTTTGCTGTATACAACAAGTAGATATTAGCTATCCCATCTGAAAACCATTTTCTAATTTCTTGTGTTACCTATCAAGTTATACTGCTTATCTGGAGCTGCAGAATGTTACATTATACCATGTAAATCAGAATTTGATGTGATGCAGTATTATATAGCATTAAGCTATTTAAACCAACTCAGTATGTAAATGAGATTTTATGAATGCAGATTCTGTTTAAAGCCAGTTCACATTTTGAGGATGCAGCCTAACCAGGTTAAGACCTCTGCAGGTAATTCACCTGCTTGTCACATTTGAACTAATAATTAGCCTACTCGGTCAACTTGCCAATGACATATTTAAGATAAATGGCAAGGTTTGGGATAGCTATCAGAGCTGTTTTTTTATTCTGTCTCCAATGCTAGGTATTATATGATGCCTGTGGTTTCCTTGAGAAGAACCGGGACACGCTTCCTGCTGATATAGTGGTGGTGTTAAGAACGTCAGAGAACAAACTTCTTCAGCAGCTGTTCTCTAGTCCATTAACCAAAACAGGTATTTCTCTGCATAGTTTTGCTACTTTTAGGGCTTCTTCACCAGAAGGCCCATCATCTTCCTATTCCTGCTACAGAAGTTATAGTCACCTCTGTACAGAACAGTGATATTCTTTTCCATCTGGGATGTAGAAAGTTAACTCAACATGCAAAGTACAGTACTAAGGATTTACTATCTCTGAGGCAATTTATAGCCATGAACTAACAATACTCACAGTTTCTCTCTGAGGTAAGTATCTTTATTATCACCCTTTTAGAAAAGCAGAGGTTAAATGATTGCTAAGGCCAGAGTTTGTTATCAGAGTCAAGATGAGAATTATGGAAATTTTGTTCCTACTCCTATGCTGTATATAATCCCTAGATATCTAATTTACTTAAAGAGGGGGATTTTTTGCGAGTAATGTCCTATCTTTTTAGAATTGCTTGTGCACAATTAGTTAAAAGAGCATTTTACTAATTTGTGTTGGAAAAAGCACACAAAACTGATGGAATTAATTATTTTAGCTGAATTGAAAAATGGTGACACCAGCTTCCTTGAAGATGCCTGTCTTCTTGCTAAATTATACTAGTAAGATGTTCGGTTTCTTCAGAGATATCTGTTATTTGCTAAAAGAATGAGTATAGGACACTTCTGCCACATAACCTCTTCCCCCCCAACCCAATGGAACACCCATGCACAGCTAAAAAGAGTCTGGCAGTCCTCGCTTTTTAAAAAAAAAATGCTTATATTACATTAGGAATGAAAAGTATTAAATTAAAAGAAATTAGGTGGTAGATTGTATATGTACAAATATTTGAAGACTTCAGATCTGATATGCATTTATTTTAAGCAAACATAGACTTTTGGAAATTCATGTGTGGCTAAAGGATTATTACAGATTGAAACACTGTGTTGTGAGGACATCACTGATTACAAAGTTTAAAAAAAAGTAGCATGCTTGCTGGTTAACTGTCTTGTCCCATATTAACCAGTGGGTACGTCTACATGAGATGTTTACTGTGTAGTTGGCTAATTAATTGTGCAGTTAATGTCTCAGCATCTGCACGTGCACCCCTATTAGGGCACACAAAACTAATAAACTCCAGGGTAGTACTAGTATTTACAAGCACTACCTTGCTGCAGAGTTTTTTACTTCACAGCACCGCACGTTTAGATGCTCACAGCACTGCACATGTAGATGCAGCTGGCTGGGGTGTAGGGGTGCTTTGTTGACAGGGGTCCCTGCCAGCTAGCCCTGCACTGAAGCACCTTTGTGCCCCAGCAAGCACCTCAACAGACCATTGAACCTGGTCAGAGCAGACCCAGGTTGGGAGGCTGACCCTCAGGGCCCCCTGCCAGCTGGGGATGCTGAGATCTGGCTCATTGTGCTGCAAGCCAGGCACACATATAAACCACGTGCCCAAGAGCTTCCCAGGAGCAATAAACCGTGGCGCAATAAGCTTCATAGTTTATTGCTGCTTATTAATGGCATGTGTAGATGCAGCCAATCAGAGCAAAAAATAATCTGTATCATGTTGATACAAAATGTCAAAACTAGTGCATACCTTGCAGCACCAAGTCATTACAAATTAATATAAATACCATGGATTGAAATATATATGCTGTGAATTTAAAATTTGCTTTGACGTCAATGAGTTTGCACAGATGCAACTGATAGCAAAATAGGTGTTTGTACTCTACAGAGAATAGTTTCCTGCTGTACTGATTATATTGTTCTTCTATAGTTGAAAGACTATTTCAATGATATTGACCTTGCCTTGTGTTTTACAATCTAGTAAACCTAGAAATCAGAACTGTATCTCAGAAAATATATAATCAAGGATGAATCTGCCTGTCCTTTTGGCTGTTTTGAGTTTAGCAATTACAGCTGGCACAATCTGGGTAGAGACTCTAGTATAAGCTCGGGTAGGAGTATCTAGCTAGGGATGAGAACCCTCTGAGCTTTACTAGTTGTGATTTTTGTTTGGTGGGTTGGTGAAGGCTATATTCCATACATCTTGCAATAGGATCAGACAAGGCAAAATAATTTCATATATAGTAAAATGACTAGAACTGCTTCTGGGAAACTCCTTGCCAGTGATTTTTTTTTCATTTGAATTAGTTATTCTGTGCTGTTCATGTTTGTATCCTTAAATGCCAAATTAGATTCTTTGTTCCAGTTGTCAGTTCCAATTATTATCAATTTTTAGCTTGATGATCAGCAAGGTAATCATACCCGATAAGCTCCTGTACACTGGTCCTTTCACACAAACTCTCTGGCATTTGACAATATTTTCAACATCAGCAGCAGTGAACTGAGTGTTTGCCAGAGAAACAGTAAATTAAAAACTGTATTCCTGTGTGCGAGCCAGAAGATACTAATCAGTGTTGCAGTACATATGCTAGTCATTCCAGCTGCTTTCACTGTTTTTTTTAATCTTAAAATCTTTTATTGGTTTCCTTTCCAAATGGGTCAGGTGATTTCTGCCTTCCATTACAGAACTCTTGCCCCTCCCTGGATTACCAGTGACAGTATTTCCTGCCTAATCAATACAGCACATCCTGTTAAGATTGGTTTAGCATGTACTCCTGATCATAATGTCACAAGACTGTGTCATAAAGCCATTGTGTGACTTTGTTTTTTAAACTCTTTGTGATTTTGCTCTATTTTGTCCAGCTGTCTCAGATAATTGGCACCCACATCCTGTGTAGGGGCCTCTGTGCTCTAAAATCAGATTGTTGCCAGGTTTGGTTTTGGCAGCCTGAAGGATAAATGAAAGGTCTGGCTGAAAGTAGAAGGTAGGGCTGGTAATACTGCTTCATCCCTGCTTAGTGAAGGAATTGAATGCCATTCTCCTCTTAACTTTCTACAAAGAAGCTTTTGTAAACAAAACAGCAGAAACTATGTAAATATTCCACCACAATTTTACTCCTCTCTTAACACTCTTCCTCCCCCACCCGACAGATGCTTCACCCCTCAAAAAAAAAACCCAAAAGAAGTATTTCTGCTCACTCCAGGCCTGCATTTAGGATTCAAATACTTTACCAAACTGTGTTTGTTTTTTGTAGATTATTAACTGATTTATATCAAAAGCTAATAACTTAAATGGACCCTATGTTTTAGAAGAATATGTATCCAGCAAACTTGACTCTAAATGAGCCTTCTGCCAGCTTCACAAGTGCTGTGTTTGGAGATGAACAGCAGCATATTCACACATCCGTTTACCACTGGCTTTGGCATTTTCAATGTGTGCATGCATGTGACTAAACAGTCCTCTTTCATATGTATAATATCCACTAGGTGGTGCTATCCCAGAGGTAAGAATGAGTTTGAAACTAATAACATGAGCTTGATGATTACTGCAAAATGGATTTGTTAAATATCCCTCAGAAGAGAGAAAAGGAATCAGATGTGTGCTTCCTTCACCCTCTGACAAAATCCTCTGCATTTTAGGGAAATTTCCTTAAATGTTTTAAGAGAGAAACAAGACATATTTGGTAGTATCTTTTATTGGGCAATTATATACTTATGGAGAGATCTTAGACAAGCTTTTGGGCACAACAGACATCTGGGAAAAAGGTAGGCACAGCATAAGTTTAATAACAGGTAGACATTACAACATGACTATAAATGTCTTGTCATATAGTTTCCCAGTGTCAAAAGCTGAACAAGAGCATTAAAAAGACAAAATTATTTTACTAATTTAAGATCAAGTTAATTTCTGTAATTCATCAAATATACTGATCAGTTGTTATATTTGATGATATACTTAACAGATGTTTCTATGTCATTGTAGCAAGCTGTATAATTTAAAATGTCAAAAATGAACAGCAGGACTTTAAATACCCATTTTTAGTAGTAGATTAAGGCTAAAAGCATACACAGACCCTAAAATATAAGATATCAGAACTGAAACCCAGTGTTCTGGGACTAAGTTTGTTCTGGTCCTGAGCTCATTGTGTGTTTTTATTTCAAGGGAGCTGAGGCACATTCAGCACCTTGAAAAATCTGTTTGTACTTTCTAGAGATCTTTAACCTTCAAGCAAAATGGGTATATTCTGGATAGTGAACCTAAATATTAACCTAGTAATTTTCCAAATTGCATCCATATTCTACATTTGTTCCATATGCAAAGTTCTTGCTGATGAGAATTTTGTGTTTGAAGTGAATATAGAAATATGCCCCACATAAAAGAAAGAAATAGAGTGTGTTTCCAAGAAACAAGGTGCCCCATTTTTGCTGAATCTGCATGTTCCTGTTGGAGCCAAACACAATTCTTTTGGTCTCTAGTTTCAAGCTTTAGTTGCCTTCCCCTCAGAGCACTTTGATACTGGGAGCTTGTATATGCTGTCTAAGGTAGGATAACTACCATATACATGTCTGGTCCAAGAGAAAGGTATGTTGGAGTAATCTTTTCACCTTCTGCTTCTTAACAGGAGGTAGTAGAAAGGGGGATGGCTCAGGGGCTATGTCACTGGCTTAGGATGTGGGAGACCCGCCTTCAGGTTTCTGCTCTTCCATAGACTTCTTGTGAGGCTCTGGACAAGTCATTAAGGCTTGATCCACAAACCCATAGGCCTAGCTTTTAAATCCCTGACTCTCAGACAAAACCTATAGCTCTTTTTATGCTCTTAGCATTCTTACACTATACAGTTAAGTGCCTCAGAATGGGATTCACAATGGTCACCACATTTAACAGGGAGCTACATAAACTAGCCAAACTGACTAGGAAAAACTGAGGACTTACATGTTAAACTTCACTCCTCTCAATATTTCTCAGGTGCTAACCCTGGACTGCTGATAGAAACCTGCCTTTTCTCGTGATTCAGAGTCCTTAATACTCTCCTGGGCTAGGGACAGGCATTAAACCAGTTTATGTTTAAGTGATAAGAAACTGGTTTAAATCTGTAACAGAACAGATGTTCAGTGCACATAAGCCAGTTTGAGAATGGCTGAAACCAGTTTGAGTAAACCTGGTTAAAAGTAGTATCAGACTTAACTGATTTGGCTCAAACCAGTT